GGATTTGAACATTGATAATGTCACATGGATCTTGGCTAAAAGTAGAAAATACCAGAAAGATGCTTACTGGTGTTTTATTAAACACAAAGGAAGGCATTAGGGGAGTAGCTAATCTTACATTCCAGGAACAGAGGACCCTAGCACCATCCAGGAAGAAGAGCATGAGTAGAATGTGGGATCCTATCCAGCTAAGCAGGGACACCAGAGATGGAGGCAGAGATGATGACATGGAGAGAAAGAAAGACTCATGGAAAGAGAAAGACTGTGTGTGGGCGACCAGGAGGCAGGTTAGCAAAATGTTCCCTTTGATTGTTTAAATGATTATATATACCTGAGTGTTATTGTGTACAACAAAAAGAAACAAAAACAACAGAGGGAATAGAAGCAAATACGGATTGTAAACATTGCAATGAAACGAAATATTATGGGATGAGTGCAAAATTGATGTTCTCCTATGTAAACTATCACTCAATTCACAATAAAATCTTTAAAACACAACAAAAAAACTGGACCAATAAGCAACATCATAAACAGAGAAAAGATTAAAGTTGTCAAGGATTTCATTTTTCTTGGATCTACAATAAATGCCCATGGAAGCAGCAGCCAAGAAATCAGACGATGTATTGCATTAGAAAAATCTACTGCAAAAGAACTCTTTTTAAGTATTGACAAGCATAAATGTCACTTTGAGTACCAAGGTACACCTAACACCAGCCATAGTATATCTATTTGCCTCATATGCATGTGAAAGCTGGACAGTGAATAAAACAAAACAGTGAACTGATATATTTCAATTATGGTGTTGGTGAAAAATAGTGAGTACACTGTGTACTGCCAGAAGAATGAAAAATCTGGCTTGGAAGCACAACTAGAATACGGCTTGGAAGCGAGAATGGTAATACTTCATCTCATGCACTTTGGAATGTTATGAGGAGGGCCCAATCCCTGGAGAAGAACACCATGCTTGGTAAACTTGAGGTACAAAGAGGTATATCTTCAATGAGATGGACTGACACAGTGGATGTTAACAAAGGGCTCAATATAGCATTGATTGTGAGGGTGGTACTTGACTGGGCAGTGTTTCCTTCTGTTGTTTTAAATTGGAAATGACTTACCTGTACTCAACAGCAGTGTTTCCTTCTGTTGTTTTAAATTGGAAATGACTTACCTGTACTCAACAACATTAAACATTTTCAAGGATACACAGCAAACTCCCATCTAGAATAGGGAGCAGTCTACTTTGAAAAGTAAATTGAACATACACTTGACTGGTCATTTTAGAACTTTACTCTTGGAGAAATATTTGCATAGTTGTAAGAGAGATGCACAGTGGTGTTCATAACACTGCTTATAAAAGCAAAATGAACAAAGTAAAGAATAGGAACAAATATATATATATAAACTAGAAACACCTAAAACACCTAAAATGTCTATTAATAAAAGAGTAATAAAAACCTAACAACCAGATATTGTCAACAATATCTTTGCAATGTTATTCATAGTTTGTTGTGATTCATGCAGTTGAGTGCCTTTGAATAGTCAATAAAGCACAAGTAAACATCTTTCTGGTATTCTCTGCTTTCAGCCAAGATTCATCTGATATCAGCAATGATATATTCCTAGTTCCCTTCCCTCTTCCGAATTCAACTTGAATTTCCTTGTCAGTGTAGTGCTGTAACCATTTTTGAATTATCCTCAGTAAAATTTACTTGAATATGATACTAATCATATTGCTCAGTGGTTTCTATTTCATTGGGTCACCTTTCCTTGGAATGGGCACAAAAATGGATTTCTTCCAATTGGTTGGACAGGTAGTTGGTCTTCCAAACTTCTTGGCATAGACAAGTGAGTACCAGCAGCATTGCATGTTTGTTGAAACATTTCAATTTCTATTCTATCATTTCCTGGAGCCTTGTTTTTCACCAATGCCTTCAGTCCATTTTGGACTCCTGCCTCCAATACTTTCGATTCTTGATCATATGCTACTTCTTGAGATGGATGAACATCAACCAATTATTTTTGTTCAACTCTTTTACTTCATTTCTTCCAGTCCTTTTAGCTTCTTTGCATTCAAAAATTTCAGTGTATTCTGACATACATTTTAGTCTTTTCTTTCCTTCTTTAAAAATGACCTTTTGCTTTCTTCATGTATGATGTGTTTTTGATGCCATCTCACAATTCCTCTGGTTTTCAGTCATTAGTGTCTAATGCATCAAATCTGCTCTTAAGATGGCTCTAAATTCAGGTATAATATACTCAAGGCCAAAATTTGGCTCTCATGGACTTGTTTCAACATTGTTCAGCTTTCGCCTGAACTTTGAGGATTTGTTCTACTGTCGGCCCTTTGCCTTATGATGTCTCTTCACACAGATATAGTCTATTTGATCCACATACTCTGTTGTTGCTCGTTGTTAAGTGCTATCACATCGATTCCAAGGAGTGGCTGGTAGGTCTGAACCGCTGACCTTGGAGTTAGCAGCCCCGTGCTTATCCTATAGCATCACACATAGTTTAGGGGACACACTTCAGTCCATAAAACTGTTCAGTGTAAAAATGAATAATCTGAAATTAACATGATGAACCTCAAAAGAAGCAATACTGAGTGAAAGTAAGGGGGAAATATATGATGAAATTATAAAGTATATAAATTGAGAAAGAGGCAAAACTAGAGTCCTGATGTGGCACTGTATAAGCACTGGACTGGTAACTACAAGGTCAGTAGTTCAAATCCACCAGCTACTTTTGGAAACCCTAAATAGGGTTGCAATGCATCAGAACTGACTTAATGGTATACAACGACGACAACAACAAACTATATTAAGTATGGATACATACACAGTTGGGCAAATTATGAAGAAAAACAAGTGAAGATTGATCACAAGTAAGAGGCAGGGCAGTGAGTCTTACTGACAGAGTGAGGCATATGATCGTGGAGGAGCAGAACAGCAACTGTCACTGACAGTGCTGTGGTGGCCCTTATTTTGGTGCATTAGTATTGGCGCTGCTATTTCTGCTATTTTTAAAGTGCATAATTACAGTACACATTTTTCTGTAGTAATGATGTCTTATAGTAAAAAACTGGAGTCCTGGTGTAGTGCTGTGGGTTAATGCGCTGGACTGCAAGGTTGGTTTGAACTGCAAGGTTGGCGGTTCAAGCTCACCAGTCGCTCCTCAGAAACCCTGTACAGGGTTGCTATGAGTCAAAACTGAATTGATGACACTGAATAAGAATATAATAGAAAATTAACATATTTACATTTAATGTTTTAAATTAAATACTTTATTGGTACCATTTAATATCAAAAACATGTTTACATAGCTTAATTTGCAACTTTTAACAAAAAGCTAGTTTGACAAAATAAAAAGTAAAATAACAAAACATAACACTTGTCAAGAAACAAGTGGCAACTTACCTCTGTAAATAACTGCATTGTCTTATTTTAAGTACCATAATTACCTGGTTTTCATAGTAATTAATAAAGGAAGCCTTGCATATAGAAAAGGATGAATGCTTGAATAATTTTGCAGAGAACATCTTTACACCTTACAACATGACTAAATGCTATTCCAACTTGCAAGCTGGAATTGGTAAGAATTATTGTAAAACTGAATTCAAGTGGCAGCCCAAAATTTGGAATTTCTAGTATTTCAAATGAGGATTTACTGAGCAAAAAGTGTAATGTGTTTTCTTCTGTGTATTTTCAGGGATGCATGCTAACGATAAGGTCAGCAATTCAAACCCACCAGTCACTCTACTATAAACGATGAGGCTCTCTGCTCCCGTATAGATTCACAGCCTTAGAAAGCACATACAGGGTAGCTGTAAGTAGGAACTGACTCAATGGCAGTGGGTTTGGGTGTGTACAAATAGAAAGAACTCAAAAGAGGTTCCTTTTAAAAGTCAACAGTTCAAAACTTACGCATGCCTTTCACCGTATCTCCAATTTCTGGATTTAGGTAAAAAATTCACATGTGATAATATAGTACAGTCCTTTTTGAATACAAGTTCTTATTCTCCTAATCTCATTAATAAAACCTACACCTCAATTAAAATGTTATTCTATCTGCAAGAAATATAATTTTTCCTCTGAGGTTTTCTGTAATTCAAATTTCTATAATACTAGCTAACCCTCCCTATTTTTCAAACCAGTATGATCTTATGATATAGCTCATTAATTTTTTTCTCTCCTCAGTGAAACGCTCTCAAGTCAAAATATTATAATAATGGAAGTATATTTCCCCACAGACATTATATTAGAAGATAAAGAATAATAAATATATAATCTTAAATGAGACAATACAAAGCGGAAAAAAAAAATGCTATGCTCAACGACTGTAAACTGCCATAAGAAAATCCTGATGTAACTCTTGCTCCCCCAAATTGATGTTCCTAGGTACAGTATACGTCCATGTTTTTGAAACATTTCCATGTCTATTTCTGATTGTTCAAAACCGTCTATAGCAACTTGTACTATTAATCCTGAACATGATGATAAATGTAATACCACATAGTTTTAACCAAGCCATAGACTATAATCTAAGTATTTTCTACTATCAACCATCTGTTTAAGAACACATTCAGGGGACCAGGCAATGGGGTTTGGGCTTCTGTCTTCTCTTGGACAGATTTTGGATATGGCATTTAATTATTCTCAGCTTCAGCAGAAAACGGATTCTCCAAGCTATTAGCCAATCGGGCTGCTAATCTCACAGTCAGCAGTTCAAAACTACCAGCTGTTCCACGGGAGAAATGAGGCTTTCTGCTCCCATAAAGATTTACAGCCTCAGAAACCCTGTACAGGGTCACTATGAGTCGGAACTGACTCCATAGCACATAACAACAACAATGTAGGAGGCATCATGTGAAGAGTGTCCACTTCGTGCACTTGCAGCAGCACACTGCCCTCTTGTGATGATCTTATGCTCTTGACTCATATATCCAATCAGCTAGAAACCATCAGGACACACAAGTACTCCAAACAATAGGGCCGAATGAACTGCTTTTGAGACAACCAACAGGTTCCAGTATGTCCAATACTCTATAGTGCAGTGTTCTCACAAAATAGAGGATTTGTATTTTGAAACAATTATTTTTCTTCTCATAGCAAGACGTGTCAGAAAGAACAAGAAAAAATAATCTATTTCTTCCCTGAAAGAGGCACTGTATGTCTATTTGGAATTAAGGCTAAATAAATGGTGCTGGTTTATAGTTCAGACAGTAATGCACTAAGATGATATTGATGATGACATTAACGAACAGCTTCTCTATTTGTCCGGTATGCCTGTTTATGAAGGTGCATCTCTATTTCCTCTCTGAAGACCAGCATTCCCAAGTGAGAATGTGAGGCCTCATTCATGGCTTTGGACTGGATGCACATGCGGTATTGCTCTGGAGTCAATTCATCCACACAGCGTTTCTCATGCCAGAGGTGAAAGAGACCAGGAACTGGAGTCCGAATTACAATAAGGTCTCCATGTAAGTATTTTCTGTAAAGATGAACATCTTCTCCACCCCAACCTTTGACTTCCATGTCAAATCCACCTGTAAGATCAAAATAGGCACCATAAGTAAAGTGTAAGGTAGTTGGAACACAATGAAACAAAATGAGAATTTAAATGTTCTGCTTCGAATGAAATGGCATGGAAAAGCATAAAGACACCTAACTAAGAGGACTGATTTCCTCGACTGGAAGATACCAGTTGACATTTAGTTTCTAGGAGCCCAAGATAGGATTATTGAGCATATCAAAAAAAGATTAAATATGAGTGTTTTGTAAACTTCAAAGTTTAACAGCCATTCAAGTAACATAGAAGGAAATACAAACTGTCCATTCCAACCAAATATTAATATTTTATTATACTTTCTTTATTTCTCCTAGGCACAAGTATTTCTGGATTACACACACAGACAAAGGGACTAACTAGCAGGAGAAATAAAAGAAAGGACCAAGCTGGAGATAAAATTTGAGAATGGGCACATAAGTAATTTAAAGTCATAAGAATGACAGAGACTACTGAAATAATTTAGAGGAAACAGAGGCGTCTACACTGAGAAGTGTCCAGCTCTCAAGGTTAAACAGAAAGAATGCAGGAAATACCAATAAAAGAGATTTAGTTGTAGTTCCAGAGGAAGTTGAAATATTTGAAGACTGTGGGTAACTGAAATCAGGGAAAACAAAACTGCGGATAAGGTGGATTACTATATAAAGTATCACGTTATCTATGAATTGTTGTTAAGTACCATCGAATCAGTTCCGACTCATAGTGACCCTATATAGGGTTTCCAAGGAATAGCTACCGAGTTTGAACCACTGTGTAGTTCAAACAAACCTTGAAGTCTAGTGCTTTATCTGTCAACACCACATTAATTCTTCCTTCTTGGTTTGGATACCTTTTTACTTTGTTTTGGATACCTTTTTTTAACTTTTTCTTGTCTTATTGTTCTGGTAGGGCACCGGGTTACGAGTTGGGCTGCTATCTTTAAGGTCAACAGTTTGAATCTATCAGCCGCCCCATGGGAGAAAGATGAGGCTTTCTGCTCCGATAAAGATTTATAGGCTTGGAAACCTATAAAGGGTTGCAATCAGTCATAACCAAATCCATGGCACATAACTACCAAGCACTACCACTGCTCTGGCTAGGACTTTCAGTGCAATATAGTATCAGTGTTGAGAATGGACATCCTTGTCTTGTTCCTGATATTAAGTATAAAGCTCTCAATGTTTCTTTCTCCACTGAGTATAATCTTGGCTGTTAGTATTTCCTTAAAGCCCTTAGTGATATTGAGAAATTTCCCTTCGGAATTATTAACTTGTTGAATGTTAAAATAAAAATTTAATCCAAAAGGGTATTGAATTTTATAAAATGCCTTTGGTGTGTCAACTCAGCTGATCATGTATCTATTTTCCTTTGTTCTATTCATTTTTTTGGTTTTGTTTTACATTGATCGATTTTTTACTATTGAACTACTCCACATTCCTGGGACATAGTCCATTTTGTCATGGTGTATAATCCTAGTAATAAATATACTGTTGGATTCTGTTTGCTAATATTTTGTTCAAAAATTTTACAGCAATATTCCTAAGTGGTATTGGCTGCAGTTTTCGTATGGCATCTTTGACTGGCTTGGTTGTCAGGGTAACATTGGCATCATAGTGCAAGTTAAGGAGTGTTCCTTCTTTTATTTTTAGGAAGAATTTGAGCAGAACCCATGCTAATTCTTTTTAAAATGTCTGGTAGAATTCTCCAGTGACGTTATCTGATTTAGAACTTTTTGTTGGGAAATTTTAAATTACTGATTCAATCTCTTTCCTTGTTCTGGGTCTGTTTAGATTTTCTATTTCTTCTCGAGTCAATTTAGGTAGGTTATGTGTTTCTAGGAATTTGTCCATTTTAACTAGTGCCCTTTCCTTTCTATCTGAAAAACTCCTGTTAGCACTATCTGCATGGTAGGTCTGATGGTAACAAATATTTTATCTTGGAATGTCTTGATTTTATCTTTTTAAAAGTTGATTTTTGGTGAAAATATCCACAGCAGATCGTATCCTCACTCAACTATTTCTATATATACAATTCAATAGCAATGACTTCACACTGAGTGATTAGTCTTGCTTTCTTTCTCTATATCATTTAATTGCCAATGACTTACACCTATTGCCCCACTAAATACGCATCTATATCTTATGTATAGATATGTCTTATGTATATAGATATATACATGTATCTTATGTATATAGATGAGTATTGGGTGGCGCGCTAAGGTGTGGCACTGCGGAATAATGCCCTGGATTGAAAGGTCAGTTTGAACTACAAAGTCAGTGGCTCAAAGTCACAGGCTGTTCCTCCGAAACCCTATATATGGTTGCTATGAGTCAGAACCAACTTGACAATAAGACACTTAACAACAAGACCCTTAATGCCACACCAAATACTCATCTATACTTTACAGTTACTGGTAATGATTTTATTTGATGCAATCCTTTTATAAAGTGCAATGTTCAAGGTAAACATTTACTAACTCAGAAAAAATCTATTAAGTTAGAAGATGACGTCAAGGGATATTTTTGATTCAAGGTTAAAAAATGATCAGATCTCAATGGGTCCAGTAAGTTGAAATTCTGTTCTTCATTCATCTCTTTGATCAGGATGCATATGTTGAGCCAATA